CTATGGATTTGGCCAAATTCTACACTGGAGGTAACTAGTCAATTTTTAGTAGTCTCTCAGAACCCAGCATTACAGGGGCCTGCTGTAATAATATTTAGCATTTATGATATTGCTTTTAATGCTGAGCATTATAACCAAATCCTACAAGTCAGTGTCTCAGCTGACAGCCTGTGATAGATACAATATGGATGCATTAAACTTATGTTTCTTGCTGAATATGTAAAATCTAGGTCCTTAAACATAAGGCGATTTTTTTTTGGGGGGGTATATATTAATAGTTGTCTCTAAAGTTAGTAATAAAAGAGCCTCTTCAGATTCTGTTTTGAAATGTTTAGAATTTAAGCCAAAGAGAGTGTTTTTTGCACGCTTGCCCTCTTCTGTATCCTTGACATATCATTGCTGTTTGTTCATCTCAAAATGATGTTGGCTTTTTTTTTTTTTTTAAGCTGAGCTATCCTGCCACCTGTTGGCAGCTCAGCGACTACTCAACTCGGGCTGGGAATCAAACTGCTGTTGCTCAGAGTTCAAACTCTTGAATGAGCTCTTAACCAACTGAGCCACTCAGCCGGCCCAAGATGTTGGCTCTTTGAACTATTCTCTACTACCGAAAAAGAGAATTAACATTCGTTGAGTGCATACTAAATCCCCAAAACTGACATAGGTCACATTCATAAAGTATTTGATCCTCACAAATACCCACTGTGATAGCTCTCATTTGACGAAAGGGAGCCTGATGTTCTGTAAAGGAACTTGCCTAGATTTGCTTAGCCTTGGAGGTTTGAACCCAAGCAGAGGTGACTCTGAAGGCCATGTGTTTTTCCACCGGAGCCCTCTCACAAAGAGGGGCATCATTATGGGGTGAGAATTAGGATTCTGCCTGCAGCTCACTAGAGATGGCTCATGATGGGGACCTTTCTCAACAGGCCAGACAGGTGGAGGACAAGATGAGCATAGAGATGCATGCAGCCCATCCTATCCCCACCCACTTAGGTCACAGGCAC